CTTCTGCTCAATCCCTTTCATCTACTCTATGCATCTTTCCTCTATTTTGCTGAAATCCCTTCTTTATTTATTTTTCCTTTTAGAGTTGATTATTCTTGCGGAGTAGTTTTTCTAATAAGATTGAACTCTTTGTACAATTCGGTTTTGTATAAGTCCAAATTTACTTCCGTTGAAATTTATGCAACGACATTTTCATATTTCCTCTGACATTTCCTGTAATTTTTTGACTCTTACAAGAAACTGAAAGTAGAGTCATGATGTGTTATTCAGAACAACTGCTGCACTATCCATGGAGACTCTCCTCCACAGAACAGAGGGAGTCAGTTCCTCACTCCATGGCTTGCTAACACTGGTGACAACAAAACACCTCTTTGTTCTAGATGTAGGGGTTTTGTACCAAGAACCATTTATTTCATTTTTAGGATAAGTAAATGACCTAGGACTTCCTTGTCCCAACTCTTTGGAGAATGATGTCAACTAAGGCAAATTGGGTACCTTCTTTATCTGTACTATCCTTATCAGAACTGGTCACTTGCACCTGGTGTGAAATCAACTTCCATGAACACAGTCAGCCTTTTGAACTCTGATCTCCCACATATAGATCTATGGGTACCAAGAAGCATAAGCAAGAGAATGCGGCTCACCCTATTCAAGATGTCTTATCAGAAAAGGGATTCAAAGCCAAGAGACATTTGCCTACTGGTGGTAGGATAGCTGCAACAGCCCCAGCCTCTGTAACCTTTCACTGTCAAACTTCCATTCTGGAAGTCTCAACAAAACCTCTGTAGTCAAAAGAAGATGGTGTGCTGATATGTGCAGGTCTTAGCATTTGTTTTATGCAAACCGTATGGATCAAGACTGGAGAAAAGTAGATTCCCAAATACCTGTACATGAAAATAAAAGTAAGTAGGACAGTATCAAGTGACAAAAGTCCTCCCCAGTGGTGGTGGCAGTAGAGGCTCTAGCTTTCTCATTGAAGTAGAATCCCACTTAGGGTGAGTGAAGGGGCTAAGCTTTATACTCAGGCTATTTGTCTCCGAAGCCAGTTTGGCATCTCCATTGACCAGCAGAACTGCACTGGCCAGCAGTTTATTTTACTGTGACTCTGTATTGCACACGGCTCAGTGGGAAAGAGATAAAGAGCTATGATCAAGACCACACAGGGTATACTTGGACTACCTCACGTAGATCATGCTTCATGTCAGAGAAATTATAGTTTTATTCAACCTTTATATCTGGATGCTTGGCTTAGTATGCCACAACTTAATTTTCCACTTGTCGAATTTCCATTCTTATTTTTCATTGTTCAGGTATGAATATTCCATGAAAGGATGGTTCAGAGGAACCAATTTAAAAAACTTTCTGCTGACACTAAGACATTCACATGTACTTTTGGTCTGCAGGGGAGGTACCTGTCCCATTATCAGATGGAACAAGTGAGAAAGAGGAGCTCCAATTTTTTTTCCCAGCCTCCCCATGTCCTCTAATTGCCGTTGGGGGTAGCTTTCCTTACGCACTGCCAAGGGAGAAAGAAGGTACGCGTTCATTGGTTACTGTACTTAGAATGGTTCCTAAAACCAGGCAAGGAAACCATGATGATCTTGGCAAACAAACAATTGGAAAGTACAGGTGCCGGGAGTATGCACAGCCCCTGAATCAACAGGACTGGGGAGGAGAGGGGGTGAGATAACAAAGAAAGGTGCTTTTCATTCAGAGAAATTTATTTCTTTTAAATATTTGCAATCTGCCGCAGATAGCACACAGGGCCACTTGGCATTATTTCCCGACAAAGGGGAGGGCTGGGTGGTAATGAGCAGATGCTGGAGTGGCCTGTGGCGTGAGGTGCACCATTTGTCAAGAAGATCAATATTTGCTGTTCTTGTATCTTTGTGGGGAAAGTTTGCTCTTCTTAAAAAAAAAAAAAAGGAAGAAAGAAAGAAAAAAAAACGGTGGGGGTTGTGCTTAATACAAGAAGATGGATTTGGCTGCAATCAACCCAAAGCACCAAGGTCTTCACAGAGGACTTTGTACCCCTCCCCTGCCCAAAGGCGAAATGCTTCAAGTTTTAAGGAGTAAGATCCACCGAGTGATGACATAGCCTCTTTTCCTTTTCTTCTTTATCATTTCAGTTAATTCCTACTTTGATGAAAGGCCCAATTTGAATACAATGCTGTGTTTCAGAATATGTGTTAAAACATAAATCGATTCCGTTCGGTTGACAAAGCAGTCTGGCTCATGTAATAGGGACTGTTCAAGGCACTAGGGTGATCAAGATGAAGAACATGGAGGTCTCTGCCTTAGCTTTGGATCTGTCTGTTTCCCTAATTTGTCATACTTAGATCACAGAAGGGAGAGTTATATGAGTGCTGACCAGCCTTCTAGATCAGAGAAGGGATTTTATATTTGATCCTTTAGATCAAAGTAAGGTCTACATCTTTAATGTGCATGGAGCCTTGTCATCATTCAGCTTCTGTTCCATAGATCTAGGACGGGGCCAGAGGATCTCCACTTCTAACAGGATTCCAGGTGACATGAGTGACGCAGGGCCACACTTTGAATCATAACAAATCATCACCTCCATCCACTTGTGTAACCATGTAGATTCCTAGGCTCCACCATAGGCATTTTATACCCAAACTTACATTTTGGCATGTTCTTTAGGTGATTTTTATGCATGGTAAAGTCTGAGAACCACTGGTTTACATGATGGAAAATCACAGAACACTATTTAGAAGGCAAGTCCCATATTAGACTCAGGTTTTAGAAAGAAAATGTGAAAAGGGGAATCCCATGGAGAGACCCTGAGATAGAAAGAAATGAGGGAAAAAGGATATTCATGACTTAGTTATCACAACTGCCCACCTGGAGAATATCTATGCATGGCCACCTTGGAGGTAACAGTTCAGGGCAGGAGCTACAAAATCATGGCGGTCTGTGTCCAAACCTCATCTCCACTCTTGTGACAATCCAACGGAGGTGACTGCAAACAGAGCTGTGGTGGCACAACTAATGGGTACAGAAGGACTGTAGAGGATAGAGTGGGTTTGAAAGGACTTGAGAGGCTGGAACTGACAGCATTCTGTGTTGAGTAGATCTGGGAGCTAAGAGGTAAAAGAAGAAGCCAAGGGTGGCCTTCCCCATTCCAGTTTTGACATATGAATTGTTGGTTGAACCAACTAAGACAAGGAGGCAATATGGTATTTTTTTAAGAATGTGGTTTTTGAAAAGAGTGGATTTTGAGGCTTGCTTCCAACACTGACAACTTACCTACATTTGGTAAGTAACTGAGGTTTTCATCAGCAAAATGGGGATAATGGCTGTTGGGAGAAAGCATTAGTCCACGATTGCAAATGTAGAAATTGAGGGACAGAGAGGGTGTCACCTCAGTGTGCACAAAAAGGAGTGGAGATGAGATTGGGACGTGGACTACCATGAATTTGTAGCTCCTTTCCTCAACTGCTACCTCCAAAGTGCATGCATAGATACTCTCTAGGTGGGCAGTTGTGATTACTGAGTCATGAATATACTTCTTCCATCATTTTCTTTCTGTCTCAAGGTCTCTCTTATTTCCTGTGGTACCACTTTCCCTTTAAAATGGCAAAAATTCCCTTCTTTCCACTTCTCTTGGCTTATCTGTGATGATTTCTTAAAAAGACTTTCACTCTATACCAAGAAGACAAAAAGGAAATGCTGGCAGCCAATTATAAAGTGCAGAGGTTTCTAATCCCTCCTCAGTTGATGTCCACTTTGTCACAGGAACAGCTGGTCTGGTTCACTCAGCTCCCATCTCTTGCTGTCATTTAAGAGAGATGTATCTTTAAAGCTTCTATCCCTGCTTCTGTGGTGTACAGTCATGGCAAAGGGAAATTCATACTCTAAGGCTGCCTTGGGACCCTCCCACTCAGCTCAAAGTTTCTGGCTAGAGACATAAGCCTTTTCCTTAGGGAACAGTGGAGGTGGGTGAGTGATATAGCTGTGTGGAGCAATAGGATGAAAACCTCACACATAAGATCTTGTCTTTCATGCAGGGATGGTTTGATCTCTTATAGGCCCAGCAAGTTAATTCTACTCTGAATACATACTATTCATAATACCTAACCAATGCTACCCATACAAATAATATCCAATATCCTAATAATAATATTCATTCAATATCCAAATCAATAATATCCAAACAATAAAGATGGCACATAAACACTAATGGGGATTTACTGCTGACTATACATTTAGTAAGTTGTTTTTAATTAAAACATAACCAAATTGTCTTTTCTTGTGACCTTATTTTATGTTATTTATATAATATCTTTGTAGATCTTTTCTCTCTTTTATTTTCTGTTTTGGTTATTTCAAGCCTGACTTGATAGCCTCCACTCTCCCATCTTCTGGGCCCTTGTTTATATCCTGCATCTTTACTTTGACATACTGGCTGTTTACTGGGTTCAAAATGACCTTTGCTGAAGACTTCACATGGCTACCCTGTCTTTGCCTGTAAGTCTTTGTTCTATTGGCACCATATCTGAGAAGCCATCTCTTACTTTGTTATATAAATTCCTTTTGTCATTTTCCCATCCCCTTTAACCTTGTATTTTTCTTTACTTTAGCAATGTAGAAATTACCGACTGATACGTTATAGATATATTTATTTTTTTGTCACCCTACACTTAAATGTCCATTTCATGAAGACAGGAACTTCATTTCTTGCACAGTGTCTAGAGGAGTGCCTGGTACACATTATATATAACTCCATAAAGATATTTTGAATGAATAGAAACTATAGTAATTAACCCCTTTAATGAAATACATAGGAAGGACATGCATGCATGTCATAGGTAACTAGAGTCAATTGCAATTGTTCTTGGGTTATTTCATTTAAAGAATAAAGAAGTACATACTTGAAAAATTTCACTCCTTTAGGAAATTAGGAGTAGTAGGTGGCATGGATTATTTTTGAAGTCACAGACCTAATTTTATATTGTCTCTTTTTCTCTTCTACCTTATAGCCCAGCCCTCATCATGAAAGAACTGTCTTGCCCTGCTCAAGATTTGTCACTCACATGAAGAATTTCTCTAAATCTCATAAATGTAATAATCTACATTTTCCAGGTAACTTAAGAATTAATTTCAGGGGGCTGAGGTCGCGGCTCAGTGGTAGAGCACTTGCCTAGCATGTGAGAGGCACAGGGTTTGATTCTTAGCACCACATATAATAAATAAAGATCCAATGACAACTAAAACAATTAAAAAAAAAAAGAATTAATTTCAGGAAAGATTGGGGTTTCCAAAATAAAAAAACTTTGGAATTTACAGGTAAAAATCATAAAGACCTTGTTGAAGATCACTTGAGCTGTGCTCCAAAAGGGCATTAAAAGAGGATATTAGGGCTGGGGACAGAGCTCAGTTGGTAGAGTGCTTCCTTCACACGCACAAAGCCTTGGGTTCAACCCCAGCACCACAAAAAAAATTAAAAAGAAGAGGGGACTCATTGGGGTATTCAGTTGATAAATCCAAAGGGACACTGGCTCAGCATGGCTGGACCCAGGATTTACTGTTCTTATGATTTTATATCTCTCTTTTAAAAAATTTACTTGATTCTCATGTTGGGTTCAGTTTTTGAAAGTATAGGAAGAATGTGCCCTGTCAGCTCTGGGTGAACATTAAAGCTTATAATTTCAAAAGCCCTCTCTTGCCCTCTATTAGTAACAGTTGTCCCCTCTTTCCCAATGACTGCTTTGGCCAAATTTGGTACTCATGAGTTGGAGATGATTAAGTGTATCAGATGGGCCATTTGCTCAAAAGCTGCATTTGAGTTTTAAAAAATTGTGTGTGTGTGTGTGTGTGTGTGTGTGTGTGTGTGTGTGTGTG